CACACGTTTGGTTTTTTTAGAATCCTCACGCAGTGGTCCAGACACACTTCCAATATCATTTGGGCAGGTATTGTCGATGAACGTCTAATTGGTCTGAATTTCTTCGGAATGATTTGCCGGTCGTTCTTGAAGGTGTGCCGTCAGCGGTCCGAGCACGGATGTGGTTTCTGCACGATGGGGCACCTCCACATTTTCGTTTAGAAGTTCGTAATTTTTTGAATCAGGCATACCAGATACGCTGGTCAGTTGTCTCCGAGCACTTGGAGAGTGAGGACAGGCATTTTCGCGCGCCGTGTTTCTGTGAGTGGTGCAAGCCGAAAATGCAGCGTTCGTTAGAGCAGAGGTACGCGATTAAATTCTATGTGAAACTCGGTAAATCTGCGACAGAGACGTTTGATATGATCAAACAGGCATTCCCAGGTGTTGCTTTAGCAAGAAGTGGCGTGTTGCGGTGGCAGCAGGCCTTTTTGGGGGGCCGGGAACAGGTCGCTGATGAAGACCGTCCCAAAACTGCTCACTGACGACCAGAAAGTGCGGCGAGTGGAAGTGTGCCAAGAAAATTTGAACATGTGTGGAAGTGACCCCCAATTTTTGAATAACGTATTCACAGGTGCCGAGTCGTGGATCTTTGGCGTCAAAAAAGGGAAGAATGAGCAAATCCAAAGTGAAAACGATGCTCATTGTCTTTTTTGACATCAAAGGCATCGTCCACCATGAATTTGTTACTCCTGGACAAACCCTCAATGCCAAGTTTTACGTGGAAGTGCTCAGGAGACTCAAACGAAGGGTCAGTCGGGTCAGACAAGACATCGCAACCGACTGGAAGTTGCACCACGACAACGTCCCGGCCCACACCGCCTTTCTTGTGCACAGCTACCTGACCAAGGCCGGCATCTCAACGCTTCCGCAGTCGCCATACAGCCCAGATGTGCCCCCCCGGACTTTTTTTTGTTTCCACGCCTGAAAAGGCCGATGAAAGGCAAGCATTTTGAGAGGACAGACGGGATCCAAGCAGCATGCACCGCGGCTTTCAAGGCTATTGCGGAGAATGCCTTCCGTGACGCCTTCAATGCTTGGGAATCGCGCTGGCAGCGCTGGCAGCGCTGCATCGACGCAGAAGGAGCCTATTTTGAAAGTTTTTAAAGAATTGTAATGATTGGCTCAATAAATTTTCTTAAATTCACTCAGTCCTATTACTTTCCGGGCAAACCCTGTATGAAATTTGTCGAATAAGTTGTGTAACACCCTGTATACATATGGATTTTAGCTCTTGGGACTGGTGCATCCAGGCTTGTAGTTGTTTTTTAAATGATTTCAAATTATTTACTTTTTGCAAGAAACTGGGAGTGTATTGATAATTCTCGGACAGAGAAAAATCCAGGGCCTTTGTGTTTTCTCCGGCTTTGGGACTAATTGTGAGATAGCATTTTGCGACGGGCGCCATAGCAGTGTTGAGTTTGCCTCATTGAAGACTTATTTTTATACTGAAAAGTAATAATATTGTACGTTTATGTAACAGTCTGATGTCAAAAACTAGCCTCAACAAACAACTCGTTCAATGGATAGGTCTTTTTTTTGTATATCAATTTAAGTATGCATGTTTGTACACATTCGAGATTTTTGAGGTGACTTGAGGTCGCAGCTCCCCACCCAATGATGCCATAGATTAAATGGGACTGAACAAGTGCAAACTATAATGTTTTTAATGATTTCTCAACCAGTAATCCTGCTACATGCTGAAATCTTGGCAACAGGTGCTGTCGTATAACTTCTACTACCAGTTGAGAAATTGTTCATTCTATTTCTTCAATTTATTTATTTATTTATTTATAATCCATACACTGCCTGAACAGAGTGTTCCAATTAACAGGCAGGGAAAAAACAAAAAGTGATACAAAAACAAAAATGTAAGCAGTATAAACATAAACATAAATTATCCAATTGTTAAAAATAAACTCTTGAGATTGATTTTGGAGGTACTAAACGTATCAAGTTCACTTACACTGTCACAGACATTACACATAACATAAAGAGGAGAAAATAACAATAAATTTGTCCGCGGAACAGGTAAATAAAATGAATTGTTACCACCATGACGAGTACGCAAATCGGGAACGCGTAGAGAGATCCTGTCTAAAAGAAAAGGGCAATCAATTGTTCCATTCAACAAATTACATAAAAATTTAGCAGCTAACAGATTCCTACGTTTGACTAAATTAGATAAATTATATCTACTTAAGAGAATGTCATTGCGTATACCTCTTTCAGGGTACGCTCTATCATCTTTAAACCATAAGTATTTCACAAAACGACGTTGGATTCTCTCGATGTTTCTACAGTGTATATCATAGGCCGGGTACCAGATAATCGAACAGTATTCTAAAATAGATCTGACAAAAGCATTAAAAAGTAAAATTAATGTATTATTATTATTGAAATGTCTACTGTTTCTTATAACAAATCCTAGATTTTTAAATGCTTTTGCTATTATTGCATTAATGTGATCAATAAAAGAAAGCTTTTGATCGAATAATACTCCCAAATCCTTGACGATATTAACACGACAAAGAACATTGCTACCGATTTCAAAATTAAAACATCTTGGTTCCACCCTACGTGTAATCGTCATAGTAGTACATTTATTGACATTCAAGTGCATGTTATTTACTTTACACCAGTGATCAATGACATTCAAATCAGCTTGTAACTTTAAACTGTCTTCTGAGCAACAAACGCTATTAAAAATTTTGAGGTCATCGGCATATAGCAAGTACTCACAACGCAAGTCTGTTATAACATCATTTATAAAAATTAAAAATAATAGGGGACCCAGAACAGAACCTTGAGGCACCCCTGATGTAGCTAAAACCGCACCAGACTTATATCCACGGAAGTCCACACATAATTGTCTATCACTGATGTATGAATGAAAGAAAGCTAAGAATCTAGATGTTAAGCCGTACTTAGACAACTTCTGCAATAGAACACCGTGATCCAAACGGTCGAAAGCTTTCGAAAAGTCAGTATAGACTACATCAACTTGCCCGCCATTATCCAGAACTGATGCGGAGTACTGCTTAAAACATGCCAAATTACTACACGTAGATCTACCCTTATAGAAACCATGTTGACTCGTCGATATTGACCGACTTACATGAGAGAACAAAATATCAAAAAGAACAAACTCAAAAATTTTGGCAATATTACTTAAAATAACAATAGCCCTGTAATTCTCTACCTGCGATCGATCGCCTTTCTTAAAAACAGGTGTTATTTTAGACAATTTCCATTTTCTAGGAAAGGTGGCAGATTTCAAGGACAAATTGAAAAGATATGTCAAAGGTTCAGCAAGAACACACGCACAGTCTTTTAGAAAAAATGAAGGTATGGAATCCAAGCCAGTGGAACATTTAGGCTTTAATCGTTTCATTGCATTCCGTACATGCTCTACATTAATAGTCACTAAAGGAAGATACGATATATTTACTGTAACGGAACAATCAGCAGATGGTTGAGAAGACGTGATGTAGGTGGACTGGAAATACTTGGCAAAAGTATCAACAATTTCTTGTGGATTCCTGAACTCCTCATTTTCCAAAGACATATTGTTGGGTATGCCTGATCTGTTGCTGCGCAAGTTAACAAAGGACCAAAATTGATTGGGGTTTTGCGCAAGGGCACGCTCAGTCCTCGCAACAAAATTAGAAAACGCCAAGTCTATATCAATTTTGATGGCTCTTCGCAGGTTACTGAAAGCTTCATAGTCAGATCTAACCAAAGTACTCTTGTATCGCTTCCAGAGGCGATGCTTTTTTGATATTTTAAAGATTATTGCACGAGAAAACCAGGGAGGGTATCTGTTATCCTTTGGTAATGTGCATGGAACGTGCCTATCGAAAGCGTCATACAATTTACTATAAAACAGGTCACAGGCAATATTAATGTCGAGGATGTCCGATGGAAAAGAGAAATCTGAATCCATAACAGTGGTGTAGAGTGCAGGAAGATCTGCTTTCCTAAAGTTATATTGCGGATTATTATTATTTGGGCGTACGTTATTCAGAGAACGCGGAAGTGAAAAGAGCGCTTCTATCGGAGGATGGTGCCTATCAACTGGTAAAAGAATATCAGATGCATTTCTCACATGAACATAATTATTACAGAAGACTAAGTCCAGTATACGATCATATTCGTTACGAATACGATTGTATTGGGCTAAATTAAAGAAACTGCTCATACTAGAGATAGCATATAAGTAGTTATCATTGTAAGAATTATCCCACATTTTATTCACGTAACTGGGAATGTTGAAATCCCCAAGAAAAATAACAAAATCATTTGGACCAAAAAAATCAATCGCCAAAATGTCATCAACAAAAGATTCAAAAGCATCTAGGTGCATATTAGGAGGAATATAAGCGAGGATAACGTAGATAGCATTACGAGCAAGCTGAATCTTAATCCCAACAATATCAATTTCTAAAACTGAAGATGCAATGGTTACTTCATGTGCCTCATATACCTTACTAATCGCTAATAAAACACCACCTCCCCTAGTTTGGCCAGTTTGTACATATTTTCTATCTGATCTAAATACACAATAATCACTACTCATAAACTCTGCATCATTAATACTATCATCTATCCAAGTTTCAGTCAAAGCTAACAAATCGTAAGAACTAGCATATGAAGCATTTAATAGCGTGTTCAGCTTAGTTTTTATCCCTCTGACATTTTGGTAATATATAGAGAAATCCGTCTGATTAAGTGCAACAGAATCATCAACATTCACATAAGTTGGCTCTACAAGATAGTTGCTATATATCACCAATAATAGATTTTTTATATTCTGCCAGTTTCTTCATATACAAAGTGCAGTTGTCTGCATCCCAAGCAGCATGATTCGAATTTGGAAGTCGAGCATTGACACAATTGATACATTTCAAAGAGGCCGACCTACACTCAGATAATTTATGATCTAAAGAGCATTTTACACAAACTTGAACTTTGCTTTTACAATTTTTAGCGTAGTGATTGTGCCCACAACATTTAAAACACAACCTCAGACTGATTGCATCATATACAATGCAGCTTTCAAAATTAACAATCAGATTGCCTCGACTAAGAATACTCGAGTATGTAGCAATGTCAACATCTAGAATAGCTTGAAAAACATCATCTGACTTCTTAGTTGGCCACACTTTTAACACAGTACACTCACTATCATTTTGAAATACACTATTCTGAGACTTCAGTATAACACTGAGCTGTTCTTTGTCAATACACTCAGACATTCCTACAATTTTCAAACGGGGGTTAAACTTCCTCACTTCCTTGACTTCATAATCATCAGCAAGGTGCAATGAAGCCAACTCCTTCAATTTGCTGGCATCTTCAGATCCATCACACTTTATAAGTAATCCCCCATTTTTTATGTTTTTTACTTGAGAAAATTTAATGTTATTAGTTACCGGATCAACAGACTGACGCATCTTAAGTCTTGTCGCTGCATGAGGCTGATCGTTGTTTTTTGGCTTAACAATTAAATTCACATTTTTTTTCAAAATGTTTGCATATGAAGCATCCGTCGCAGGCATCCTTCTTAAGGTATCTTGATCAAACTGTTCATCAATCTTGTTTATTAGAACAGATTTTGCTTCGTTAAATGACTCATGGATATTGGAAATAAGTGCATCGACCTTTTTATTTATCCTAGTAGACACAAAATCCAAATCCGTTCTTTTATTAACGCAGGATGGGCAAAACCAAAATAAACCAGGTGTTTTAATTACCTTCAATACGTCATATGGAATTCCCATACAAGAAATGTGAAAAAACTGATCGCAAAAACCACTGCACGATATACCTGGCTTGGAACGGTTTACCAGCGACTGGCATTCTGCACATTTATCGGCCATAATTGATTGAAGAAAGCAGTTCACTTCATTAAAAAAAAAAAAAAAGTATACAACGACAACTAACGCGTTACTACGCTCACGCACATGTAAATTGGAGAAAAAACGCACGTTATTACCATTTAAAATCACCAAAAACTAAGAGCACACAGTAAACACGTCTGTCTTTGTTTTCTGGCAAATGCCTTCCCAATTTACGTTATAACCGTTTCACAACAACAGTTTGTCCAGGAATTTATCCAGATGGACTTCTACAAAGTCATTCTAATCGTTCTGCAGTGTTTACCACAACCACACAACAAATTCTAACTATACAAAATTTGGGTTTGTATAGTTATTGTTATTTAGATCAATGAGCAAATTCAAATCGTGATTTTATATCGTCCAATGTTACAATGAAAGAAAGGAGAAAGATATTGGCACCATGGAGTTTGACGGCAAACTTGCCAAAAATTAGAACAGGTTCTAACGACACGAAGTCTATGAATTCATTAGATGTCGCCTTCCTGTTTTATACATTTGAAAAACGGACATGAGGCCAATTCATGAAGAAATCCATAGATTTGCCGACAATGTGAAATCGGTAATAGGTGGACAACGATAAAAAGTGAAGTTTCAAAATTGATAGATATTGGGCCTATGTGTACATCTGGTAGGTGTGAAAGGAGAAACACGATCTTTTAGTATGATGCTCATTTGTTTGATAAATTTCCTGTAGTATCTGATATAAAAATAAAATTAAGAAAAAAACATAAGGTGCAAAACATTTCAACCCACAATTTGGGTAGCTTCGTCCATTTTTATGTTAATTTTTCCATTCTAAAATATAGCCTGAAGTATGCCTAAAATATACTTACAAGTTTTAAAATGGTATGAATGTTAGTCAAGTCATTGTATAGTAATTGTCATACATTCTCAAATCTAAAAAAAACCTATAGTAAAAAATAAGATTTAATGGCTTATACCATAATATTGTTTAACACTATAAACGTTATTCTCAATTAAATAGTCTTTTAAGAGATGCTTAAATGTTTTTAGACTGGGCAATTGTTTATTTCCAAAGGAAGTAGGTTAAAAGAATTTAGGCCATTAATATTTAGGGACTTACACATAATTTGAGTATATAGAAGTCTTCACTAATCATCGTATTAATTGAATACATTTCGCCACATGTTGGGATTTTCTCTCTATCTTTAAATGTGTATAAACAAGTTTCCAATATATATATATATATAAAGTTAAACCAGTAAGTGTTAATACGCTGAATCATCTGATGATTCCTTTCTATTTCATGACCACATCTTTTGAATTAGTAGAGATCCTCCAAAATGCTATGTCATATCGTATGACAGACTCATCCTGTGCATGATACAAACGAATTAATTGATTTAATGGTAGAATATGTCGTTAGACGCTTGTTTAGGTCGACTGGTCCCAAAGATGACGCATTAGTACGCTACGATATGCCTATCCTGATGCTTAAAAAATAATTTTAAATATATTGTCATTTCGATAGAAATTTATAGTTTAGGGTTAGTGCTAGACTATAAAATATGTTTTCATAACAAAGAGCAATCGATGAAATATACGTAGTTAATAATAGTTATATTATTATTTATTAATTTCTGATAATACAATCAATTATGAGTTAATTATAACTTGGATATAAATAAAAAGTTAACATTTCTACAGCTTGGAGGATTTGAAAGGCGTATCAAGTCACAGCGGAGTTTCTCTTCTGCAACTTCTTACTTGAAATTAATATTAATTAATTCTTTTTTTGTTTGACCTCGTCAACTTCTATGGTTATTCGCCGTATTCAATAATATAGTGTATAATTGCAAGTGTAAGTAAAAATATATAAATCTATAGTATAAAATATATAATCTCTTACGTGTCTAAGTGGTAAATGTCGCATTTTTAAAAAACTATATATGCAAATTCCAGATATTCATCGAAAAGGATATACTATTGCCATTTATTTTCAGATTCTATTAGCAACAAAAGATAATCTCTGGGAAATGTTAGACGACTAAATTTGTCAGGCATATATTAATTTATTATATTTTTTTTTATTTTGTTTCAGCAGTATCGACGGATGTGGTCATTATCTGCATTTCACGATCTTGTTTGCATTTACGTAAGTATTTCGATTTAAACAAATTCTATTGCTACATATTTCTTTTAGTTCCAGATGACAATACTAAGCTAAGGTAGGTATGATGCAAAATCATAGTTACATAAGATTCATTTAATCTCAGTTGAGAATAAGATACACAAAATTAGAATGGTTCATTTCCTAAAAGTTCATTAGGTCAGATCTTTCAATAGAAACCAGATACTTTTAAGAATGATATGACGATTTTCAGTTTTTCTGGTTGTGTGAGACTCTCTGTCAGGTTATCAAATGGTCCAAAGATCACTCGATATTGGGACAATATCGGACATGTGCAGATAATGTGGCGTACAGTGCGTGGAGAGTTACATCCAGTGCACAAGGGCGGATCTGTTCCGAGCAAAAGATGTGCATGTGTAAGACGTGTGTGGCCAAAGCGTAAGCGATGTATGCACACCCATTCCTCTCGTGGCAGTCTGATAGGATGTGGCCATGATCCTACACCAATATTAATTAATTGATTAATAAATTACGGATTCTCTCAAAACAAGGTTAGGCTGTAACAATAGGATTTCAAGTGTTTACACTCTTGATTATATTCGCAGAAATTATTGGTCATTAAGAAATACCTGTTAGTCTTGTGTGTTTGTAGCAAAATGTTTCATTACAAAATGCTCAGGCCACATTTACTTGATGTACTTTTGTGTGATGAATATGGCTTTGTGGTTAAAATAGATGTATTGCTTTTTGGTATTCAGAAAATCAGGAAACTGAGAAAGATAATGGCTATAGCAGTGCTTGTTCTTCAGGTGCTGGAGCATCTTCAGAAAACTGAGCAACAGCACTAGAAAATCGTTACTGCTTTAGTCGCATAGGTATCACGTTTTCATGAATGCTGAGCTCTTATTCGACATGAAATTAACCGCAACGCTGATTGGTCTTCAGAAAATTGAGGAGCATCCTTAGCGATACCACAAGATCTTGGCCTGCACCCTCATGAGCTAACTCAAGAACTAAAGCCGTTCAATCATATGAACGTTCTCGAATTGGTCTCTAGAAATCTTGCAAGAAAATGACCAATTTCATCGCAAAATCATCTTCAGTGATGAAGCGCAGTTTTGGTTAAATGACTTCGTCAACAAACAGAATATGCGTTATTGGTCAGCTAAAAACCCTTATGTGCTTCCAGAAACACCACTTCATCCACAAAAAATAACTATTTCGCTTGGTTTTCAAGCCATTTTTTTTTCGTTGATGAAAATGACCGTCACGTTACAGTCAACGGAAAGCGCTACAGAGACATGCTGCAACGTTATTTTATTGGTCAATTTGATGGGCTAGACATTAATGATACGTGGTTTCAACAAGACGGCGCCACAAGCCACACAGTTGGTGAGACAATCGACATACTGAAATCAAAATTCGGTGAACGTGTCATATAGAGAAATAGTCCTGTCGAATGGCCGCCTAGATCGTGTGATTTAATACCTCTACTTTTTTTGTGGAGCTTTATTAAATCATTGGTGTATGCAACAAGCCCGCGTCGTTAGAGGAGCTCAGAGCCAATATTAAACAAGAGATTGCGGCCGTTTCGGTCGAAATTTGTGGTCGAGTCATTGAAAATTGCGTTCAACGAATCGATCGCTGCGAACATGCCAATAGTGGACATATGAACGAGGTCGAATTCCATACATAAATGTTTTGAGTATACCTCAATCCAATAATAAAATTTTCGAGATATCTCAAATGGTTTGCGTTTTAATCAAAAAAAAGTTGTCAAGTTTTTACTAGAAAACCCTTTACTCTGTGCTGTCTTATTTCGTGGGCCTCCTTGTGTAGCTCAAGCAGCCTCATTGTTTGTTGCTCAGTTCTTTGAAGATGATTCAGCAGTGCTGCATCTATTCTATCGGAAAACTGTTCAGCATACACAAAAAAGAGAGATTTCTCATGTTGGTCAAGCAGCAGCGCTGTTTGTATCCGCTGTTACTCGGTTTTTTAAAGGCTCTTTCATTGATTTTCTGAATACCAAAAGGCGATGCATACCTTTTGACCACGAATTCATATTCAACAAACAAAAATGAATAAAAAAAGTGGCCTGGTCATTTTGTAATGAATCTTTTTTTAATCAGAACGTTAAACAGTGTGCGCGTTCATCGAGCTCGTGAACTCGATAACGTCAGAAGACTACATGTTCACATTAGTAGTTTTCCAGACCTAGGCTTCATTGTCTTTAATCATTACACATTAAATGCTATCATCGCTAAATTTGACCGAGACCAGTTTTCCATAGTTGCAGGGCTCTCCAGATGGAAATCATTGCCCACCGTATGTGATCGTCTTGGCAAGAGGTCATGGCTCCGGCACCGGTAGTGGCTCCGGATTCCCCGGACGGTGTTGAGGTGGCGCCTGTCCGGTGGCCCCGTCGATGCGCGATGGAGTTTTCAGCCTCACTTTTCGCAAAATGAGCCCTAATTCCTCCTCGTGCTCTTTCTCTCTCGCGACATAATTCCTAAGCAGGTATGCCAGTATATTTCACACCCTACTCGCTGACTTGAATACAAACAGAACGTTTTCGCTGGCTTGTGGTGGAAAAGAGGGACAATGGATGTTTAAGCATACGAGAAGAATTTATATACGTAGTAATGCATTGCCAATTTGAATTTGTTGTTCATTGATGGCGTCTAGCAAGTTAACCCTGAACTTTCCATGCAACGCTGTCCCCAGTTTAGTAAAGATTAGGTTCGGCATACATTAGAGCCTCTCAGAAGCCACGAATATATGAAACAGAAATGAAATGGGTCAAGTCAGCCAAACAGGCTCATACGTTTAGTCCATAGGCGTCTTTCCCTGCCCTACCGATAAGGCACCGTCCAGCTGGCAACGTCGTCCCTCATCCATACTTCATCTATA